ACAAATATATGACCCTTTTGTGCCAAGGGTACACATAAGTATGATTGTCTTTTTATTGATTATGGGTCAAACAGACACAAGGTGGGCTTCTAATGGGCCCAACATGCCTTGGGTGTTGGGTCGACTTAGTTCAAAATGCACTAAATTCGGGAATTGGTTTCACTCTACGCTAGTTGACTAAGAGTAGTTTTGAAAGACTGGAAACCCAAGCGGACAACTTAGGTTGGAACTCATGACAACCATTGGATGCATGACAAACCAATAAATTGCCGATCATTTTGAAAAATGGTTGAGTATAGAATAGTTCAGCTGCGGTTTCGCAAAACCATTCTTTAATATACTATACATACGTGTTGGAAAATGTCATGAATGCAATGACAGTTTATAGCAATTTAACAAGTAATGAATACACCACAAGTACAATATACAAACAATCAACAAAATACACAACATGTAAGATATAACACAATAAAAGAAAAACCTCCTAGATTTGAAAAAATGAATTCATAATGGTTAGAACCTCTATATCCCTAGCAGAGTCACCGTTCTGTTTACTTCCCTACATTATTTAAATAAGGAGAAACGTCCCGGTGACTCGAAAAATAAACAATTAAGTCAATTTTAAAAGAATTTAAGGAAAAATGAGTTTTAAAGGAGTCGCCACCTAATTTTAGGAAAAACTAGGAAACCAATTAAAAATGTCTACGAAACCATTAGATTCTAAGTAAGGGGTGCAAGTTATTTCGAAAGGAAGGTGTTAAGCATCCTTCGAAATCCACAACTGTGGGTTCCGACTGAATTCATTTTTTCAAATTGAGGAGGAGATAAAAATAATATACAAGTAATAAAATAAAATAATAATATAAGAGACGGCTTAAGGTTTGCTTAACATCGATATATATACAAGACAATGCATAAGTAATTTAATTCGAACTTCATTCGAATGGCTTCAATGGGAAGCAACTCTGGGTACCTGTAAAGACACTTAGTAAAAGTGTTAGTAATAAATAAATATGAATAAAAATAAATGAATCAAATAATAACTTAAAAATAAAAACTCGTCTTATTAACATGGAAGACCTTGGAAATCGACGGTAATTTCTTAATTGGCCAATTTTCACAAACAAAATATATAAACTTAAACTAATTTTCGTCTTTTAAAATGTGGAGGCCTCCAAAACCGACGGAGAGATTTTATCATTGGCCAATGAAGAACGAACAAACAAAATGAATATTAATAACAAACAAAACAAGTCCTCTAAGAAAATGTAAGCCAACAAAATTATACTACAATCCTAATGAATAATATAGACAATACGATGATAACATTAAGAGTAACCATAACAAATGAATCAAAATAAACTAAACAATGGTTCAAATAATCTAATGATGGCTTGGCAAACATTCTTTTCAAGTTACAGGAAAATAACACTAAGCAAGTCAAACGAAAATTCACTACTACTCCAACAAAATAACATCTTTCAAAAAATCAGTAAACCACACTAAATAGCATTATTCGGAGAAAACCAAAATAATTAAAGCACTACCACCAAAATAATAAAATAATAATGACAGTCAACAACTATAATGAGTTTTTTCATGTTTGATTGGGTTAAATGTTTTGGAAAATGTTTTCCAAATCAACTATTTTTCCTCAATTTTAAGGAAAATGACTTCCCTTCAAAACTTAAGGAAAACATTTTCCAAAACTCTCTTCCAACTCCCCCATAAAAAGATTTTTTTTTTAAAGCTTGTTTTAAAAAAATGTTTTTAACTTCAATTTTTTTACCCCACCCTCACCCCTACCCCAGCCCCCTACCTTGTTTTTAAAAAATATTTTCAACTTCAAATTTTTATTTTTTCACTCCTACCCTCAATCCCGCCTCTCGCCAGCCCCCCAACAAGCCCCCCACCCCGAAATATTTAAGTTTGTTTTTAGATTTTTAAGTGTTTGGTTTATGAATGAAAAATGTTTTTGAGAAATATTTAAGTTTGTTTTTAAAAAATATTTTCAACTTCAAATTTTTATTTTTTCACTCCTACCCTCAATCCCGCCTCTCGCCAGCCCCCCAACAAGCCCCCCACCCCGAAATATTTAAGTTTGTTTTTAGATTTTTAAGTGTTTGGTTTATGAATGAAAAATGTTTTTGAGAAATATTTAAGTTTGTTTTTAAAAAATATTTTCAATTTCAAAAAATATTTTCTACTCTAGTAAAAATCTTTTCCGGAAAATATTTTCTACTCACCAACCAAACATGAGAAAATTAAGTAAAAAATCTACTTGTTTTCTAGTAAAACATTTTCCTTCATACCAAACATACCCTAAATCAACCAAAAAGTCACAAAAATCCAAATCTAAGATTAATATCAACTCAATATTTTGCACAAGAAATAAAGGAACAGAACAAATACTTTACCTATTGAAGGACGGACGGATGACCGGATCTGATGCGAAATTTACTCGCCGAAGTTGATGTCGACATCGGCGAAGTGAGTTGCATCCATCTCCAATCCATCGGAGCACAAAGATGCAGCGAGGCAAAGCTTTGGCTTGCTGGAATACCGTATTTTGCTGCTGGTTGGAGTTTGAGTTTGGGGGTGATTGGGGGTTGTTTCAGTCGGAAAGAAATGAGTAAAGGAAGTTGGGGTTGTTGGTTGTTTCGGTGGAGCTCATGGTGGTTGAGCGGTGATTTGTTTCTGGTTGGGGGTTTTTGTTTGTGGTGGAACTGTTGTTGGTGATTTTGGTTGCTAGAAACGGAAAGAGGGGTGAGCACTGGTGGTATGGTGGTGTGCGGTGGTTGCTCGAGCTTCTAGCTCCGAGTTTCGCCAAAATTTTCTACTATTTTCAGGAGGTGGTTGGTCTGGTTGCTTCGCTGAAAAAAAAATGAACAATGGGAAAAGGGTTTTGGAGGCAGTGAACAGGGGGTTTGGGTGGTGGCGGCAGCTCTAGGAAGATAAATTAGGGTTTTTACACATTTTGAATTCTTTCTTCCAATCTAAAAAAATTCACCCACTAATTCTTTTGACCCAGTAAAACTTAAATAGAAAATTGTTATAAAATGGGCTCCAATCATGGGCTTGAGAGTTGAGACTGTGGCCCAAAATTGTTGGTTGATAAAATATTTGTGTATGAAATCTTATCCATATTTGAATGAATTTTTAGATTGTGCAAAATATCGAAATGAATACTAACGACTAATAAACGTGAATACTAAAAATATGTGTTTAACGTAACTAATGACATGTAAAAAATACAATTTAACAAAAATAACAATTTAATTAGAATGAACAAAAACTTTCTCTAAGTGTTTTCTACACAAATGAACTACATATATGGCTTATACCATATGTAAATAAAGTCCTAAAAACGAAATAAGACAAGGTCCCATGAGAAAAGACTAAAAAAGATGTCTTTTACAAAAGTCTAAAAGTAGGTGGGAAAATATGATGCTTTAACAAGCGTCTAAAAGTAGGTGGGAAAAGGTGATGCTTTATTTTCATAAAAGAGGCAAAATGTCCCTTTGACAAATCAGTCTTGTCTCCTCTCTTGGAATCCGTTTTGGCTGCAAGTAAAGGTCAATAATTGCTCACCAAGGATCGATAAACTTATTTAAAATTATATATATATAAAAAATATTTTGAACTATTAAATAAATAAAACAAAAAAGTTACGAATTTTGAAAATGTTAGGCCAAAATTGGGTGTCAACAATACCTTAGAGGAATTTAAAGTTATCGAAAACTGAGATTCATATTGACACTTAGTCTCACTGATTGGGGTTTGTGAAAAGAATGATGAGATGATATTAGTCTATTATTACATGGCTAATGGGACATTGAGAGAGCACCTTTTCAAGCATAACAAGCCACCCTTATCATTGAAGCAAAGGTTGGATATTTGCATTGGTGCAGCTAGAGGTCTTTACTAACTTCACACTGTTGCAAGGTACACTATCATCCATAGAGATGTGAAAACTACAAACATTTTGGTGGATGACAAGTGAGTGGCAAAGGTTGCTGATTTCAAGCTATCGAAAACGGGACCTTTCTCCAACAAAGTCATGTTAGTACAATGGTAAAGGGATGTTTTGTATACTTGGATCCAGAGTATTTCAGAAGACAACAACTAACAGAAAAGTCTGATGTCTACTCTTTTGGGGTTGTCCTATTTGAAGTAATGTCTCGAAGGTTAGCTCTAAATGCTAGTCTTCCAAAGGAACAAGTCAGTCTAGCAGAGTACTGCCTTCAGTTGCAAAGTGATCCTGATGAACCAAAAATGGTGGCAGAACAGAAAGCTAATGATGCTTATGCTATGCATACAAAATCATTAACGGTTGCCAAAAATGGTAAGGAGTCAAAGGAGCACACAACGTCGAGACTTCTTACGGAAGGGTACTAAAGAGGGCAAATAATATCATCTTGTTAATTGAAAAACTGCTTAACTAAGCAGAGAGCATGATGGATTGTGTTTACTGACTTACTGATGAAATGACTTTGGAGATACAATGGTGAAGATCAAACATATGGCCAAACAAACCACAAGTGGTGCACTATGCCATCATGGCCAACTTTGTCTGAGAATATGCGTTAAATTAACTTGTTAAAGCATCAATAACAAATATACAGACAGTCTATTCGTCATAGACTCGTAATGCATAAACAGTTTATTCATCACACGGCAACGTACTTTCTTAATCATGTAAGGTAGCATCTATATGAACAATATTAAGCGTAGAAGATTGAGAAACTTATATCAATTAAATCAAGTACTCGGATGTTATTGAGAGGAGTACACAACACAATAATAAATACAAGAGAAGCACTTAGTTAGCCACCTCTAACATTTTTTTAAATTTGTTTGCTTAATTGTGTTTTTTCATAGCAAGTTTGTATGCCAACAAAAATATATAATAGAGGAGATGACATAGGAAGAGGAAAAGACCAAAAACAAGTAATAAGATATAAAGATAAATGACAAGAGTGATATTCTATATATACTTGCAGCTTGTCCATGATAATAAACTCTTGGATTCGTTTTCTAGTTGCAGTCTTTGTTGAAGGACTGCCACTAATGACAATGGCAAGTACATCTTGCATTAAACTAAAATAAAGAAAGAATAATTAGATCATGAAAAATATTCTATTATACTAACAATTGGATTTATGTGAATAATAATAATTAAATAAATTTATAAATACCAAATTCAAATTCTTTGGGTTGATACTCAAAAGTGTCAAATGTGGTAAGAGCTAATCGTGTTGGTGGTGGTAATGGATCCTCTGGAGGTTTGACCTCTTCAACTGGTTCAACAATGGTGTTTTTATCGAGTGTCCAAATGAATTTGTTAAGTGGATTTTCGTATCCAAGAGGTGGTAATTTCACATGTGCAACAGATACCAAGTAAGTCTTGAAAGGAGCAAATTCTTTTTCAAAATATGTTATATCAGTACTGAAAATAGTGGCTTGAACTTTATTCTCCTGTAAAAGAATTTGTACAAAGTTTGATTAGTTGTGTAAAATTTAAAAGTTATCTTATTATTTTTCATATTATTAAAGTAAAATTATAAAATGATGGATTATTTAGTTAACTCAATTAAAGTTAGGCTTTTAAAATCAATAATATATTAATAAAAATAAATACCTCTTCATCTTGCAGAATTAAGACTTGGTATTTTGTGGTTTTATCTTTGTTGTCTCTTAGTCGACTTTTATCAACAACTTGGACTTTACAGGTCCAATCTTTAGTAGTTGGAGAGATCATATTGGTATATCTTTCCGCCATGTTGAAATATCTACAATTAAAATACATTATAAAAGGATTAACTAAAGGTAAATGTATAATGGAAGCAATATTATAATATAGATAAATAAAAAATATATATAGTATAAGTAAGTTGTATATGAGATTTACCATTGCAAATAATAGCACAAAGTTCAAGAAAAAGCCTTTTTAATAATTTCATTATAGACAATATTATATGTCGAATGATCATCATTTTCGTCAATTATAGGTGGTCTAATTAATACTTTGACACTGTTAGAACTTGTGGCTCTTGATAAAGCAACATACAATTGTCCATGAGAGAAGACAGGTTCGTGTAAATATATACTAACAAAATCTAATGTTTGTCCTTGAGCTTTATTTATAGTCATTGTAAAACATAATCGTACAAGAAACTGTGTTCTCTTAAAAGGAAGAAGCAATTTTTCATCTTCTGAAGTCATGAGTGGTATTTGTGGAATAAATACATGTGTACTTTTAAAATCACCGCTAGATATTGTTGCACTAATAACATGAGGTTTAAAATCATTACATATTAAGCGTGTCCCATTGCATAAACCTTCACAAGGATTTAAATTTCTTAATAACATAATCGGACAATTTTTCTTCAAAGTTAATTTTTATGCAGGTAAACCAGTAGGATTTAAAGTGTGTAAGAAATCTTCATATTCACTTTGATCCTTTGGATCAATAGTTTCATCTATAGCAATATACATTTTTTCAGTGTTTGGAAATTGAGAGATCAACATGTCATTTATTTCATCAATAAAATCATTTTTAGTTGTTAGAATAGCACGAGAAGTAATAAACGAAATTTTTGTACAACATGTGTATAAATCAGAATAAGTATTTCTAAAGAGAAGATTTAGAGATTCTTTTTCAGAAGTAAAAGGAATAAGAGAATGAGGAATTTCAATTTTTCCATGGTCATTTGTTTTTTATTTCCATCACCAATTCTCATTAAATATTCACAAAATTCAAGAATTTTAGTTGCACGAATATTCTTTTATAACTATAATTTTTCAAGTTTATTCCAACTTTCAGAACACAATAAACTTTCACGAATAAGATCTTCTTTTTTTCCACTACAAACAATAGGAAGAGTTTGTCTGAAATCACCACTAAAAATAACTATTTTACCACCAAATAACGTATTTGTTTCCATTAGATCTCTTAAAAGTAAGTCAAACACTTCAACCATTTTCTTTTTTGCCATTGAAATTTCTTCCCACACAATTAATCGTGCATCTCGTATTAAAGATGCTAGTGAACTTTGTTTATTAATATTGCAAGTAAAATTTTCATTGACATCAATAAGAATTTAAAATCGAGAATGAGCAGTTCGACCTCCGGGAAGAAGTGAAGCTGCAACACCAGAACTTACAGTTGCTAAAGCTATAAATCCTTTGTGTCTTAATGTAGCTAATAAAGCACGATATACAAAATTTTTACCAGGACCATCAATAAAGAATGCCCCAAATTTATTTGACAATACTCTATCAAGAATAATATTGTAAGCCTTTCTCTGTTCAGTGTTTAATTTAGTTTTTGATAATAAATCTTCCTCACTAACAATGCTATTTCTTTCATAATGAACTTATTTAGCTTCTCTTGCTATTGATGAAGGTTTGATATATTCTGAAATTAGGTCAAATTCATTAATGTCACAACCCATTAAATGAAGAATATTGTTAATATAATTTAATACTTTATAACGTATTTCTCTTACATTTATGTTCGAACTTTTTTGAAATCTTCAGACATTGGGCTTTCAAATATTTCCCATAATTCTCTAGGATTTGTTGGATTACAATAAATCAATAACATAGAAAATAATTGTCTTAAACTGGATGGTATTTGATAACCTGCAGCTTCAGACATGCATTCTACCAAATTATTATCACAAAGTAATAGTTCTCTTTTTTCTGCAGCTTCTCTAAATGAATTATAATGTACTCCATTTAAAGTTCGCAGATCTTCATATGATTTTGGCCCTCTTACGCTCATTAAAAGAAGTCTAAGATAGTATCTTTCTCCTTCAGTTGGATGACATGTCACTACACGTCCAATAACATGACCTCGTTTATGATGTGTCCACATTTTATCTGTTGTTGACCATACAAAATGTTCTGGAAATTAACGATATAATAAATTTAGGTCCATAGCTTCTTTGTTTGATTTATTCATTAAAAAAAATTCAGTTAACATTGTTTTTCTTATAATGGGATTACTTGCAATTTTGCTAATGTTGTCGGTACTTTTGAAGGAAACAAGTTGTTGTCCATCAAGATGTAGTTGTAGATGATATACACTTGGACTCATTTCGCTAATAGGAAAAGCGAATATTCTCCATGAAGCTGGTGATACCCACCTTGCAGATTGATATTCTTTTATTTCATCTATCTCTAGGTTTACATCATTAGTCTGTATATGAAATGCTATTTTATCATGTCCTTTGCAAATGTATTTATAAATGTACTTAACAACTTTTATATCCGAACAAATCTATACATTTATATGACAGTTGAATTTACAAAGTAAATATGGATTATAAGGAACAACCACGAGTTATCAAGAAAGTGTCCTCTAATTTTCACACTTTTTGTTGTATTTCGTCTTCTATAAATTGGGTATGAATTTTTTCCTTTAGTTGTTTGTTCTACAAACTCTTTAGGATACTTATTTTTACAGCATCCTCTTTTTTTCATACAAAAATTTGTTGGATTCAAATTACCACAAGGACCATGCATCATATGTTGTGTAACAAGTGAGTATAAATAGGGATATATATTTTCATCTGGTATTTCAGCACATACAAATCGATCATATGCTTCTGGAGTTAGGAATTTGTAATTCTCATTTAGTATAATAAGAAACTGAGCATGGGAAAGTCCTCGTTTTTGAAATTCTATTGTATACATAAATGCTGCAACTTTACCAAATATATGCCTTTTCATTATATCATTTTTCAATTCTTCTATTTTTGCTCTAAACACTCAATTAGCCATATCAGGCCTATTTTGTACCTCATAGTTTTTCTTTTATTTCAGGCCAAGAAGGATTACATGTTATAGTAAAAAATATATCAGGTTTTCCAAAACGTTGCACTAATGCAATAGCATCCATATTCCGTCTACGCATATCTCTTGGACCTCCAGTAAAGCTAAGTGGAAGTATGCATTGTTTTCCTATATGTGAAGCTTCTCTTTCCCCCTTACGTAAAACATCCAAAATTCCGTCTAATACATCAGTCCTAAATAAATCTTGATCAAAAAAAGCAAAGTCTAATTGTTGGCTTTCAATTTTTATCCATTCATCTACTACATATTGTTGGAATAATCTTCCTGCATGTAAGACTATATTTACATCATCTCTTATTTGAAGTTTGTAACAATAATATTCACGACAAGAAATAGTGTCTCGTTTGTGCTTTTCTTTTAGCATAACTTCGGCTTCCATGTTAAGTAGTCCATATATTGAACACATATTTTTTATACTTGGTAGTTGTTCTTGTTCGCAATATATTTGTGTTGATGTTCTTGAAGAACATTTAATTTTCTTAATACCGCAGTGCCATCCACCATGACCATATGGAAATAGCAATGGATATTGCAATGGATCATAACAACCGTAATAATAATTTACCAATTGACTTTTATCACTTTTTGTATATATTCGAATATGTGGTGTAGGAATAGAATTAGTAATATCTTGTTCTACCCATATTCCTGCAACTTCTGATACTGTTGGTAAGTTATATATACGTTGATCTAAGCCAGAATCACACTTAAGTGCAATATAAAAATCAGATAGTTGTGGAACATCTACTAAAGATTTTAAAAACATAGAGTATGGATTAATTTTTAATATTTCCATCAGAGTTCTCACAACATATTCATTGAATTTATTTGAACATGCCATTCGATTTCTTAATTCATTTTCACTATCAAAGAAATATAATTGAAGATTTTTTTCTTTTTTATCGGTAGGAATCAAGTCATTGATGAAATGATACATCTGACCTTGAACCTGAAAATTATAAATACCATTATTTCTTTTTGCTAATTCTTTGTCATATGTTACTCCAAGAGATGTGAAAGCAAATATATTATTGTACATTCTAATGTAAGTTCTAAAATGTTTTGATAGCTCTGTATTTTCCAGATAAACGTTCTTTAATTCTATTGGAATCTCATGTGAAGTTAATTAAACAAAATGCAGGCGGTTCATATTCAAATTTTATGGCTTTAAAAAATTGACAATTTGATACTTCTTTTAATTTGATATAATTAATTTCTGATGGCATAGTACTACCTATTTTTGATAGGAGCAACATGGGTTCTCTCATAAGATCAGAACTTTGTGCAACAGAAACAATGGTGGAATTAGAAGACGATGCAGTAGCCAAATCATTATTCATTGAACTTTCAGATAAGTTATGTTTTCTCATTTCAGCTCTCTTTTCTCGACGGCGTGCCAGAAGAATCTCTTTTCCTCAGGTGGCATCAATCTGTATGCCTAGCATTTCTATCCGCATTTGATTTTTGAAAAGCATGCACATTTTTATGGTTTCTATTACTTGACATCTTTGGGATCAAAATAATTTTACACAAAATAATTATCTAGTAAATAATAGTAATAATTTTAAATAAGAGATTAGTTGAGTAATACTTACCACACACTGAGAGAAAAGTGAAACACAGGAGCGAACAACTACCGCAACGAAGTGGATATTCTGTAAAGTTAATAGTTCAATCCATATATTAAATCTATTATAATAGACATGTATAATAGGAAAAAAAAATTAAAAAATGCTAAAAATGTAAGGCTCATTTAAATAGTATATGAAATGATAATAGTAACAAACAACACATAGTTCAAAGTGAAGAGCCTACGCAACATAGCTTTCAACACACCATACTATTGTTATTTTTTAACATGGTCAATGTGGATTCATATAGCC